CCTCTCTACAGTCAAACCCCTGTTAAGACGATGTAATCGGGGCCGTGTAAAATATCGTCTTATAGGGGATATCGTTTTAAAGGATTTGATTACCTAATCAGCTACAGCAAGACCCCTGTTAATATGACGTAACCAGGGCCGTGAAAAATATTGTCATACAGAGAATATCGTCGCTCCACGGAAATTCCCTTTGTTGGCGGCATTTTAAGCACCAATCTAGCAAAAAAAAAATAAAAAACTGGTAAAGACGATATGCAGAGATTGAAGAACGATAATCGTATAATCGGTAAATGTATGGGAACGAAGTCCGTTCTGGAAAAAATATCGTCTTAACGAGGATCGTCGGGGGACTATTCTCAACACCTGTCAGCGGTGTCCCCTACGAACCTCCAGCTCTCACTGTAGAGTCTGCAGAGCCGAGATTGAGTAACAAAGTCCTCACTTCAATGAGGATTCCCTATCGTTCTCGCGGTCTGTATCGTCTTCATCTCTCAACACATTCCCCTATCACCATTATCATGAAGCTAACCACGATCAGATCAGATGGTAGGGTCGGAGCCCTTCTAATCACCAACCCCTGGTCATGGAGGAAAGCCATCCGATAAGTTTCCGGAGCGTACCCAGCACTAGATACGGAGATGGCGGATTAGATCAAGTCGACCTCAACTCTTACAAAGAAGGGAGATATAGATGAATATGCGCACCTCATGTGGTCCCGGTGTCTAGGCCTCGCCTGGCTGGGGCTACAGGTTTTTTGAGACTTTTTCCCGCGCACGCAGTTTCCATTGCTACCATTTTTATTTTTTTGGGGTAGAAGGTTCCGTGGAAACGGTGGCCGAATTCCACGGGTAAACACTGAGCTGAATGGCTATTCATCAAGGGGAATATATCAATGATCTTTCAAGTAACAAAAGAGGATAGGTGCACTGTACAAGGTGTGGCCTGAGTCAGAGAGGAGCCCAATGTGCTAGATGGTCATAAGTAGTACAATAAACACACAAAAACAGTGTTGCGCTATAAATGTTGGCCAAAGACCCCTATATTTATTTATTAATTATATTTGACATCGTGCCCGCACACAGCATGTGAGCTTTTCACGTACCGGTAAGCGTAGTCTAAATTAAACTACCCGACGTGTTGGTGCCTAAACGGACCCAACAGAGCAAATGAAAGCCAACAGCTTATCTTCCTGCGCTCGAGAATTTTAGTATACATGGAGGTCGTCTATCCAACGAATCTCATGCTATACAGTTGGTACTAAAAAAAGAAAAGATATTGTTTACATCAAATCGAGATTTCGTTCGAATCAGACTTATCTTTGTGCCCTTTTTGTTGGAAATTCAGACTCTATATGTTTGAAGTTTCCTTATGATTGGAACAACTAAGATTCTCACACATGATTCACGACCTAAATGATTGATATCTCCTTTATTGAGCCTGTTTGATGCTTGAGACTCGACTAGTGCATGGTATGGTCTGATACCTGTGTAGGCTTTCATTCACCGACCCTGACCCCATACTCATGTTGTATACTGTCATGCGATTCATTGTCATTGGTAGAGTATGGAACGAGTGATGGATGGTATCTAGTTTGTATTTGGTCTATTAAGGATACATGTATATAAGCTGTCTAGGAATCACCAAGACAGATAATCTAATCAATTCAATTCATTCAACCAATATTTTATTTCTCCACAGTATATCACATATTCTTTCTATCCGCATGTAGTAAAATATCGCAGGCTTATAGCCTGAGCGAAAATAGCCACGCAAAAAATCGAAGCCGAGACACTAGCGAGTGGAATAATATCTGCGGGAACGAAAAAGTGAGGCGTAGACAAAAAGAAGCGGGCAAGATAGGAGCGTTCCAGGACTGGGAAACCGCATGGAATACTTTTAAGGAAGAACGACTATCTTCTCATCAGGCGTCAGCAGACCCAGAACATTGGGCAGCAGCAAGTATAAGCACCGACAAGAAAACAGGTAGAAAAAGAATCACCCACAGAAACACACCCTCTAACATCCACCGAAACCTGAGCAGGGCCCAAAGTAGTATTGCAATGCAAATAAGAAGTGAGCATATCGGCCTCAACTCTTATCTTTATAGAAGAAAGGACCCTGGAGTGGCAAATCCAAAGTGCCAGTGTGGATATCCGTCACAAAACGTGAAACATATGGTCATGGCTTGTCCTCAGTGGGCCAAGGGAAGAGGAGAGGTGCTGCAACGGGCAAAAGATAGTTCTTTCGAAGCTATGATGAACAGCCCGGAAGACATGAAGAGAATTACAGATTGGATACTTACAAACGGCTGGCTTGAACAGTTCCGGCTTGCAGAAGAAGTTGAGACAGCAGTCAGCGAAAGGATTGAGCGATCGGGAAAAGGATAGGACGATATTCACACTGGACGTACAGTGTAAGCGCATTTCCTATAGGAAACCTCTGAAAACAAATAGACATGAGACAGACAGTTATGGGGGGTTTTTACCGAATATGGTTTCCTCCTGTGTAAATATTATAGCTAGATATTCCTGCATGGGCTCATAGGGTACCTGAACGGGCTAAATGAAATCAAATCAAATATATCACATATTCTCCCGATTCATATCATTATTATTCTATTCATAAAATCGCGCCCATATTCTTTGAGCCGCCTTACTCATCGAACCCATACCGATTTTCCAGCACTTTCGAAGAAGTTTGTGATACGCAACCGGCATTTGAATGCATCAACTCCCTCCGCCGAAGCAAGAGCCCAAGATACGCTGGTATTAGAATTCTATGCTCTGTGGATCTGGGCCTGGTATTGCCCGAGGTGGCAATAGAAAAAGTTGTTGGGGGACTTCTCTTCTCTGCATGTGCAGGTTAGAATGGCGTTTTCAGCACGAAATCGCTGGTGGTAGTCCGCGAAGTCGCCATGACCGGACCGTGCAGCTGGTAGACATCCTAATGTGCGTCGTCCTAGACGGGCGAGCTCGATGGTGATTTTAGTATTAGGGCCACTATCTAATTCTTTTTATGTAGAAGGTAAATTTTCCGCCCAATGTAGTGTTACGGAAGCCTCTTATTGAGATTTGACTTCACTTCTTGCCCTCGCAATGGAGAGTTCTGAATGTGGAGCTGGAGCCGCATAGGCGGCTTTAGCGAGAGCGTGGGCAACTTCTTTTTTTTCAAATCATTAAGTGTATTCAGCCTATCTAGCTGTGACACTATATACATAAATTAAAATATTTATATTGCAGTATTTTCGTTCATTTTGGCCCTAATCCATCCTTCTCAAATATATATCATTCAATCAGGTTAATTAGTGGTTTCTGTTTATAGTTTCTTCTTATACAAGTGCAATTATATATTTCTATACCTCTTTCTCTTCCCCCATGAATGGCAGTTGGATGATGAGAGATACCTGATAAGTGCATTCTTACCAACTGTAGTATTGAATAATACTTGAAGTATTAATGGAATTATACCATTAAACTCTTTCTTTCTCCTTCTCTTGAACTATGGGCAGTTGAGTATTAGATGCTGAGTAGTTTTAATACCCTTGTCACAGTAGTTGAAGATATTTGTGTCTGATTTTCTAATCTATTCCATAGAAACATGTGTGTTGCCTATTCCAGTTCTAGCTTGAAAATAAGCTGACTATGATTTTTGGCTGTATTTGTTGAAATTAAATGGCTACATTTTAAAATTTGGAATAGAGAGCTTGGCCTGAGTCCTATAGAACTTCCCTAGGCCAGTTGCATTTCTCCCTTCTTCTTCTCGAAATAGCTGGGATATCTAGTCTTTGCACCAGGCATCTTTGATGAGCTTCTTAGTCTCTTGTTTCAGAAAGCTTTGTGTTGTGTAGAGGTTATTTTTTGAAGGAACCTTGTCAGCAGCTCATCTTGCTAGGGAGTTAGCTATCTCCTTTCCACCAATTTTCATGTGCCCTGGGTACCAACAAAGAGTGGTTTTGATGTTGCTAGCTTCCCTTCGTATTTGTTGGCTAAATTGGTTTGATTCATTCTGGATTCTCTTCAGCGAAGCTTGGCTGTCAGTGAAGATATATAATTGAGAAGAGTTAGGTCGTCGACAACTTCGTTTTCAATAATACTTGAGTGGCCCGGGTACATCTAATAGCTACTTCTCCAGGCTCCATATTGTGGCCGCGTAACAAAGAGCCCTATAGGAATCCGAGGCATGAGTACTCGTACTTTATATTGAATCATCTATTATGTACGTTTCTTTGATTTTGTATCATGGCTTGATAGCTGCATACGCAATTGAAATCTGATGCAATAAAAAAGTGCCTTGTAGCTACAGATGAAATCTCTGTACTGCCAGGAAGGTCATGTGACCTGTCTAGCTTAGTTTGCACGAGTAGGTAAGATGTTACCCCTAGTTAGTTCTTTTGATGATTAATTGCTTTATAATTCTAGCCCTGTTCCTTTAATTATGTGAATTTCGCATTTTTGTACTGTGAATTCTTAGAGGGATGACTCAATTTCACGATTAGAACGCTCATGTGCAGATCTGATTTGCAGGTACCACTCGAGGGTAACCCTTAAGGAGTAAATATCTTCGTGAATATCTGACATAGGGAAAAGCGTGAAAACCTCATAGTTATCTGAGTGTGCTTAAGTCATCCTACAAATATGATATCACCACGAGAGAGTGTGGTGTCTGGGCTTTACCGGACTCGAACCAGCTTTCTCCTGCCTCAAATGGGGTAGGTGGTCAAGCTACCCAGAATCTACTTGGGAGAAGTCAGCCTGTGATAGGACATAAAAATTGCTGTGAAAGAAAAATATTTTCTGAATCAGTGATGCTGCTGGGCTAACCATAATGAATGTCGAGATTCGTGTAATATTTCTTGAGCGTGGCTTCTTGTGGGATTAAAAATACCAAAATAAATTATGCACTACAGTGTACAGTAAATGTCAACCCTATTTACCCACTTTTTTACAGGTGCCAAGCCAAATGCTACGAATAAATTTCGTATAAAATAGACTTAGGAAGGCCTAGCACCTGATCTCATATCCATCAGTGCTAACTGTCAAATATTTAACGCCTTTGTAAGGCTTAACACCGTCACTAAGACCGCGACTTTTTCTGGTATCAATGTTGAGGCTTTCAACCTTGATGCCCGAAGCCAGCCAGCCTTTGACGGAGAAACTCACTGTTGCAGAACTAGGCATAAGACTTTTATTCAGGGATTTTCTCCAGCTAGTACATTGCTCGCTTACCCCCTTATCCTTAGTAGTATCTATGGAAGAAGTTTGATATGACTCTTCCTGGTAATTTGAGGGGTCTAGGTGAAAGCCTTTGCCTTCTATTTTTTCTTCATCGTTGGTGTGGGGACCTGAAACAGTGCAACGCATAGTAGCACTCCCAGGAATTATTTCTTTCGCCGAAATATGCCACTCCAGGGTTAAGCCACCAGGGCTGTATGTCGTCTCGCCTATAGTTGTCCGGATTTCTGATATATTTCTCACGTTTCGCGGCAGAGGAATTGTTATAGCTAGATCTTCCAGGAGCGGCGTATTCGATTTGCTGATACTACCTGTAAACCCACTCTGGGCCCGGTTTCCTGTAAGCCCGCCCCTTAGACTAGGACCAGAGCCGGACGAAGTTCCAGTTCCTGGAAGGCTGTTGATTATCAACCGAACTTCAAACTCAGAACAGGTAGGACCAAGTCCAGTCTTCACATCGATATTTATTGGAAGCTTTAAGCTTGAAGAATTAGCTGTTCCCAAAGTGTGACTCTCTGTAGGCATTAGATCAACGCCATATCCAGCTAGCACAAATTTTCCGTCTGGTGGAATAAAGCTGATCTCCCCTGGATTCTCTTTCCACCTTGCCAAGCGTACACATGGATGAAAGACAGGAAGCTCCATCACACTGCTAATACCCTGCTTCCCTGATAATGTGGATAAATTGAGCAAGAGGTCAGGAACGCCAGAAATCTTAGATGTAAATGCAATAGTACCATTGCTGAATGCTGCAATCGGTCGGCCTGAGGGAGCTATGGTTACTGTAAGGGTTTCAATAATATCGACATACAGCTCATTTGACGTATGACGCACATTTGTTCTCCGCCAGGGTAAAGCTGTTGTATTCGATGGTAAAGATCGGGATAATGGTGTGGTACTGGCTGCTGAATTTGAAGATGCTGAGAGTCCAGTAGGTATATTTATATTCCCTAGAAGCTTACCCATCCATCCCTCAACTTCTACTAGATCTCTCAAAGCATTGGGTTCAGATGTGCTTATTATACCGCAGTCACACATCTCGTTGAGAAGTTGCGCAACGACATCGTAACTACTTTCAATTTTCGGGGCCAAGAGTGGTGAACCAACAAACTCTTCCAAAACGTCTGTAACACGATGTAGGAATTCGATGGCGAGCAGAGGCTCAAGGTCGCTTGAGGATGTAAGAAAAAATATTAAATTTGCGTGAACTATACTGAAGAGAAGGGTAGGTGGAGAGACTGTCGATAGGTAAATTAGATTTGGCCGAGGTTGCGCATAAGCTGTGTAGAATGGTAAAAGTTGATTTGCGCTGAGTGGCCTCGAGGTGTACACATGCGTTAGTATTGCTCGACTACATGTAGGTTAGCTTAGAGGGATATGAGAGGGTAGAATTCTAGGTACTGATGTTCATCAAAAATATGCAATGCTTCAATTGCGCCACCCATGACTCAAAATACTTTGTGGACACAGTGAAAGCTATATTGAAATGCGACGAAAGACGCTACGGTGGAAGCGGCCGTGTTGCCCAATCAAATTTCCCGTGCGACATGCGATCGTTTAGAAATTTATTCTTCAATGACAACACACGTCTAGCCTACTAAAATAAGAAAGTCAGTCATGCTTCCAGGAACTAGTGCAAACCGCACTCTTGATGGCTCTGTGTCACTGTCTGATGCTATGCGGGAAGACAAGGTTGATGATTGTCCAAGCTGTAGAATAATGGGTATGGAGCGGACAACCTAAGCCTGTAAAACATGTATGGCGAGCTAACACGTCAGCAGGCGCAACGGCATTATTTGGGCTTGGGGTTTACAGCTATTTTAGCGGACATGCTCAAATTCGCGCGCAAGAAACCAAAATCCTTCAAAGCAAAAGCCGTTTTGGCATAAAGAGCAGACAAGCGGGCATCACCACGATTACTTTAACACTTGCGGGAATGGGATTCTGGCGACTGGTTAATTAAGAGCATCAATATATGATTTAATTTTCAGGGCTCCATGAACTGCAAACCCGATGTCCTGCATTTTCATCCCGATTCGTGCAAGTTTATATTCTAGTGCATTCATTTCAGCCTCTTTTCGGAGCCTAGTTGTGCATTTGATTCGTTCCTATCAGGCGCCATCAATATGTAGCGCACTCTAAAATCCCATTATTCCAAAAGATGACTATTTGTCGATTAAACCTTATATCAAGTTGTCCCTTTACGGAGCCGTTGATACATTTTCCTCGGGCCTAAAACAGACATATTTCTAATCGGCATGGGCTTAAATCTGTTTATAGAACACGACAAAAGACGGTTAAAATACCATGCACATTTTTAAAGATATTGTATGCCTGGCACAAATATACTCTACCTACTGGATGTATATAGAGAGTTTAGGATTTACACAATGTCTATCAGTAAAATAAGACTAACTTGGAGACATGACTCAAAACCTGTCAGCGATATCTACAAAGAATCTTTAGCTCTTGCTCAAGAGTCTGCAGAGTCGAGTTTGAGTCCAACTCTTGCCGGGGGCTTCCGTTGTCAATAAGTCTACAACATTTTTCACTATTAATGCTAGCAAAGATGAATATTCAACTTCCAGCTATGCCGGTATAAGCACCCAGGATTATCTTCATATCTGGGATAGTCAAGAATAATTTAATCCGAGTTTAAGTTGAGAGCGAACACAAGTATGTCCAAAGTCGACGTACTCTTATCAATATCCAATCTACTATTCTCAAGCCAGTCCTGTAACTCAAGTATACCACACACCATCTCGCCTCAACAACTGATCTACTAGTAACCCAAATTGAAAATGGGAGCTCTCCTCATTAGATATGGGTTATGTCTCAATAGTAAAGCTTAGAATACTTTTTAAATTTTCCTTGGGTTTCAATGGAGCCTCGGATTCATCCTGAAGTGTGAATAATGGAAGAGAGATGTGAAAACAAGAATAGATCCTTCTAGCTTCATGCAGTGCTTCATCCCCCAGCTTATTTGTCTAACCGAACGCTTCTCAAAGGTTTCTCCGCCTTCAGATCTATTCCTTATACTAGTAATTATCGAGTTCCGCACTCTATTTTTTTTAAATTTCCCGACCATCATATACCCACAAAAAGCCTTCATCTCGTTAGTTTTGGAGCAGAGATTATGAATGGAAAGACAATTCTGCATGAGTAAACTAAGCAGGACTTGTGAGAGGTAATACTCGCTCGTCCTTCAGGAAAGAAGCTGTAACCTTTGCAAGCTTAAATAGAGGGTCGGCGTACTTCACTGGCACATGAGTAGAGGTTTTGGCTGAGAGGAACTTTGTTGTCCACTTCATGTTATAGATACCTAGACTTGTTTGACAGTTGGTTCTACAGCTACAGATTGACTGCCATCCAGGGACGTGTGCGTAAGAGTGCGAATTTGGTGATTTGCGGGGGACTTAAAGTGCCAGGCAACATGGGATAGCTGAAGCTACGGTGCTTGCCGCTGGGTGCTTTTGAAATAACATGAGCAATTACCGCTTTGAAATAAAACTCCATTGAGTCTACTTAGGTTTTATTTAATCATTGAATAGAAGACAAAGGGCAATTTTAATACTATCAATGGCTACTATGCTAATGAAGATCCAACTGGCTGTTCCAGCAGCTCATCACTCTTCACTATCAACTGGGGCGCAAATTTCGGGAGGATATACTCCAGCCTTTTTGGTCATGCTACTTCAGGGACAGGCTTGGTGATTTGCAGACGTTCCTGATGTTCCGTTCAGGAAAGCCTCTAATTTAGAAGCGCCCACGGGGGCTATGTGATGTGTGTTTCTCCATTGCTTGTTGTCGAAGCTGCTTACCATCTTAAACTAGAGGCAGCGGTTTCTCTAGCTCAGCGATCTACCATCTGAATCTCTTCCGCAGAATTATCAGCTTCATCATTCCGATCTCTATTTATTGCCCCAGAGAGCTACATAGTGCCATCTACCTCGGAGACTATCCAGGAAGAGTTCGTCGGATCTTTTTTAAAAAAATCATTTAATATGTATTCAGCTATCTAGCTATGACAGATTACCGGTGCCATGTTTACATGATAGATATCTCTTTTGAAGTTAGAGACACTAATACTCTGGATTTCATTCGAAAATACCACTGAGGTATGTTCGCTTACACAAACAGTCGACCCTCCTCCGTAAGTATCCACCAAAGGAACGTTTTAAAACTTTTGATTATCCAAGCATACCAGCGCTGTGAGAAAAGTAGTTGTGTTTTGCTGGATTTTAACCAGAGATCTACTGGCTCGAGTGGGATACGTGTCCTAGCTATCCAGACTCTACTCAAAAGACCAGCCAAGATGATGTACCACCGCACCATCCAGCCATGGCGGGGTTACAGTGTCACCTGCACTCTCGCAACCGAAGCCTTGACAAGCACAAAGCTTAATTTGTGTAAGCTCCTTGCCAAAACTCGAAAATTTAAGCCCTTCAAGATTACATCCTTCCTTTTCAACATCTGGTGAACTTGTCCCAGTTCCTCCCATGTCCATCCCAAAGGACTGCCTCTAAGATTTGTGCGTCACGATTTGCTTCCTCCGTCGGGTGTAAATATCGGCGTGGGCGTGTATTTGGTGACGAGCTGAGGCAAGAGAAAGTTGACGAGAGGTGTGGTCATTGAAATAAGGATGTACTAGGTCGTGCTTGTAAATTTGATGAGAGTTAGGGAAGAGTCGATCTCGTTGAGAGTGAAAGATTGATGATGATGATTATATTTATCGTGCCAGGCTTACACCCTCCATCCAATGGACATGACACGCATGGAGGACATCTAGAATACAAGTTCCTCCATTCTCCAGCAAAGCTCATTCGGTGCCTGACTTTTCCAAATACGTGTCTCACGCTAGTTACACTGGGTCGAATAGGTAGGAACGCATTCACCATGATCCTAAGAACATGTATTGAGGAAAAACCTTCGTGGGAAAACCTCAATAATTCCTCCTGTAATCTTTCACGACGAGAAGCCGTAGTCCCCCCTTAAACAGGCCGCGTAGGAATGCAACCTACCACTTCTAGAAAGAACATCCAGCACCAGACCAACTGTGCCAACAGCCTGTTGAAAATCACACATCATTCTTCCCAAATTCTCCCATGCACTGCGCTCAACCCCATTTTCGAGGGCTGAAATTCCAAAATCGAGAGCTCAGAACCGAGGCATCAGTGCCCCAGCTTTTGTCGTACATTGTTCGTTGTCTGAGTGAGGCTTCTTCGTTCGGGCCGTCTTTGGAATGTGTCGAAAATTTGAGAAAGTTGATGTCGCGGTCGAGGTGCTTGTCTAAAATGAGGTCGAGCAATTGCACAGTCCTGCACACAATTTTAGTAAGGTTGAAAGCGAAAGGAATATTACCTTTGATTTTGGAGGGTTGTTGGTGAGTCGTAAAGTCCACCCAGTCAAACTCAGTCGGGAAGTTGTTAGAAGACTGAATAGAAGAGACCCAAACTTAAACTTTCGATCTATCGTGCCGGAAACGGAACCTTGCCCAGGTGTCAATCGAAATCGACTGGACCACGCTCAGCAAGCTGCCGTTGCGAAGGATGCGATTCTTCTTGGCTATCCCAGATATGCAGAGCATACTGAGAGATTACACCGGCTCCACTGGAAGGTGAAGAATTCGTCTTTGCCGGCATGGGTAAAAGCTCTGATGAATAGCCATTCATCACTGGCAATATATCAATGATCTTTCAAGTAAAAAAAGAGGATAGGAGCACTATACTAGGTGTGGCCTGGGTCTAGGAGCAGCTCAATTTGCTAGATAGTCTATGGCTCAAGTATTACAACAAATATATCTCTCTCTTCATCTTCTTGGTCTCAATATTTCGTGGTTTTTCCATTTCCAATTAATGCAAATTGTTGTCTCCATTTTATCGATATTCAAGTTTTTATTCTGGGACCCCATGTTTTCCAGACGCGAACCAAAAGTTTTGTCTCGCTACCCATTTCTACGTCTTTATTGGAAAATGTTAATTTGCCTAAAGTGGAAATCACTCAAAGAATTTAGGTCCAACTTCAAGGCAGTGCCTCATAGTTAAACCAATAAAATTATTATCATACGTATTCTTTAATTATTTCCAACAACAATGTAAATGGTTGACCGGGCTGTAGTAATAATGCTGTAAAAAGAAGTTTATTATCTTATACTAAAATTATGAATTTGTTCTTCTTTCGATGGGGATGTCCCTTTATCTTTTGAATGAGTGTAAATGCTTAGTCATTATATTGAACAGTTGTGCCGCCTTACTGTCTGACTTGGCTATCTATTATAATCAATTAAGATAACAATTAGATCATGAATCCAGCACAGAGCGGGTAACTGGCAGACAATAGGAGGTACGTGCGAGAGGCTCAGGATCGAGATCATTAAGGAAATACTTTTAAATTTGATTTTAGTTTTGTTGTAAATTCATAGTCTTTCTGTGGAAGCTCACGCGGTTACAATGAGTTTGGCTGCGGAAAATTTACAGGGATCACTTCCGGCTCCACCAATCTCGTACCCAAAGCGAACTTAGAGCATTAATCCAGAACATAATTACTTCCAAAGAAAAAAGATCATATACCCATCTGACCAGCAACTACGAACTAATAAAGCAGGGGCCTATGCCAGCTTTGCAGTAGATATCAAAGGTGCCCTACAACAAGATATTTGAGTTGTAGATTTAAAGTTCTAAATTACAACACTTTCTTTGGTACCTCTTGATATACGGATCTTTCAAACTCCATTTTTACAAATCATTATCTATTGCATAACCGCAGCAAATAGTAGCATCATGGCCATTACTATATTTGCGCCCACCTCCAATTTGGCTCTAGAAAACTCCAACAGTACCCTTCAATATTCAGATGATGATGATGATATTGACGGAGGGGTCAAGATTGAGCATCCATTTAATAGAATGCCAGGAAACCAATTACGAGGAGCCGCCACAGAACTTGTCACACCCGGTGAGACTGTGACAGATGATCCACAATGGATGAGGTACGACTTCCTTCTCCAACCGAGCAGTTGAGCTTTTCTTATCATGATAGGGGCCATGGCACGTACGTTCCGCCGTTCAGTACCGAAATTACCGCCACTGTCGCTGGAACTGTTCAGAAAACAAATAAGCTCCTTTCAGTCAGACCTCTTAGAGCTCGTTATACGCCTGAAATAGGAGACCTCGTTGTCGGTCGCATAATTGAAGTTCAATCCAAGAAATGGCGTGTTGATATTGGGGCCCCAAACCTAGCGTCTCTACCTTTGTCTGCAATAAATCTGCCAGGAGGTATACAACGCAAACGGACGGAAAACGACGAGTTACAAATCAGAACTTTCTTTTCCGAGGGTGACCTGCTGATTGCAGAAGTACAGCAACTGAATCAAAACGGCATAGCTAGTCTACACACTCGAAGTTTGAAGTACGGAAAATTACGAAACGGTGTCTTTATGAGTGTCAGCGGTACTGGTGGGGGCGGTGGTGTCGCTAGAGCTAGAAGGCAAGTATGGCAAGCTGAAACTGCCAATAATGGTGGCAAGGTCCAGATTATATTGGGAGTAAATGGATATATATGGATTAGCAAACACGTTGATGTTGCTGATGACTTGGCCATAACGAGGATGGAAGAAAACGTGAGCAGTACTGTATACTCAAGTCAGAACGATGAAATATCTGCTGAGACAAGGAATGAAATCTCGCGTATGCGAGAGGTCATAAATCTCTTGGTTCAAGCAGACCTACGGATTGACGAAGAAATAGTAATGAAGGGCTATGAAGCTGCCGTTCTTGTTAGTGGTAGCTCCAACAATGAGATAAGTAACACTCATTTGGGTGGCGAGATGGGCAAGAAGGTCCTTTCTCTCCTTTCAATGGAATAACCTATCTTGATTACCGAAAGATGAAGATCCATTTCATGTACACAGTATTCCCTACGCCGATTGATCGCTTCAGGTAATGCTAATGAAGGCTGTAATGAGTAGATTTGATTTCTACCCCGAGCTGAGCCCTCGTTCAGCCTTAAAATGATGTTCGATGATTCACTCGATATAAAGAATAAGCAGAATTATTTTGACCACTTGATAAAATCATAAGATACAAAGGATTACACTATGCTTCGACGAGATATTGCAACATAACACAACTTATGATTGAAAAGATAAATAAGCAAAAATGAGGAAGGCTGAAAATCTGAAGATTCTACTCTCCAATTTTTCGAATTTTAATTCAAATGCAATGCTAATTTACGGAACTGACTAAAAAAAGGTATGAAAGACCGATCAAGTTAAATTAACTGTATGCAAATCATACGCATCGAACTACAGTAGATGTCTTTGATTGGCTATAATCTAGTGCTGTCAATCCACCAAGAACCCTATATCTGGTATCAAAACTTGGAAATTAGCCAGAGGAAAAGAATGCAATAGGGATAGCAGTTAGGGCTTGAAAAAAAGAAATGTAACATAAAAAATGAGCAATATCTCTAAGGCTATTATTGCTCCACAGAATCTTTTTTTGTGCTTAGGGTGGATAGATGTTAGAGACCTATCAGCGGTTCCTTCAATAAGTATGGGAGTCTGTAAACCTTCTAAAAACAGTAGTTTCAGCTTCAATACTGATTATACAACTATGGAATTGAATACAGGCTGGTATCTTCAGAGAATTGTTCAAGATTCAAAAAATATAAGAAAAACCTCCTGAAACTTTTTTCAAACGGAGACTTGTATTAATTTTCGAGTTAAAAGTTCTACAACTTTTTGAAGGCTAATTGATACACTTATTGGGAATCAGAGATTTATTGGCAGTTCAATGTGCTTTCCAAATTATTGAACATATTTGGAAGTAGTCGAGTTGCAGTATAGAGTTTGGGCGAGTCAGATATTAGTGAAACCCGTGATATACAGGAGAATAGATGGAAAAAATCAAGATGCTGAATTCACACGCCCAAATGAGCTCTTGCGTTTGAAGAGTAGATAGCATCGCTGGACCACGCTGACATACGTCTAAGTGACACTTAAACAATCAGAAGAGAGATGAAGACAATCACCTATGAGAAGGGCCTTCAAGAATCTCTATCCCTCGCCAATGCCTGGAGAAGATGTTGGGCCCAGCACTAAGCAGGAACACCTTAATTTTTATTGAGTCTACAATATTCTCTAGGACCAGAGATGAAACAGAGGTTAAGCTAGGCTGACTTCCAGCACACTCTTTGTAATTTTGATGCGATTTCTGGCTGACCGAGAGGTAACGATGGAAGTAAGTAAAGGGAGGTTAGAAAGTCAGAATGTGACTTTCCTAGGTAAGCTTAAGTCCACACCACCCAGCTGGCTGGCCTCTTCGAATACTCCCGGAAGGTGTAATAATTAAGAGAGTAACATAACTATATTACAATAAACTGTTCATATTAGAATAATGTGCATAGGAAACATGAGGCATGATTGACCTAGATCATCACTTATTAGTGTGACAAAGTATTTCCCAATAGATTCTTATGGGTATCTATTGGTGCAAGGATCTCTCACATCATTCCTTACTTTGTGTAAGGATTCTTGAGAAATCCCTCAGGCAGGATTTATGGGTTCCTTATTTAATCCCACTATTCTTTATTGCTTAGCGAGGGCACCTATCTAGTTTCCATTTCCGAGTTTGATACCTTCACGCTTTGTTTTCTGTCTTTAGGAATAGTTACATTATTCTAATCACATCTCACTCTCGTCCTCTGCAAAACATAGTGACCTACTGTCACCTCCGGCCCCTCTATCTAGAACGACTCCCCGCTTTCCATTTTACCACTTCTCTAGAAAGCCCTCCGCGTTACCACGAGGCGTCCTTCCTCAGTACATCCTACGCTACGCCCTCTCCAACGCCTCGAGTCCTGCGCCTAGTGAACCTGCGCCTGACACTTTGTTTGACAACAAGATACATTAGAACCCCCCCTAGTGTGTAGATACTCCCTTTTTCATGTAAAAAAAGGAGCTTCCTGCCAGTTATAAAGTATAAACAATTCGTACGCCAGGATTTTTAAACAATCTCCAAATTATTCACAAACTTGAGAATACTCGGGAATATCCTCAGGTTCGTCCATTGATATAAGTCCTAAGACTATAACTCACGAACTTCACTTCTCTAAGAGCTAAAGCTACCTCCTTCCATACCTTCATCCTAACGGTACGTCATTCCAGCTCAGCACAGCCTTTCGATAGAAACTAGCTATGTGTTGGGATTTATTCTGATATCGGTAATAAGAGAGCCACGGACATAGTAATCATTGTGACTCTTACCGTCTACAAAAAACCTGCCAAAGGCGTGTGTTATGTTGATTGGTTTATGAAGATACTGGTGAGCAAATGACATCTGCAAGTCCATGATAGGATAAAAAAATTAAAAAGCTTGTGACTAATAGATAGAAGAAAGGAAGATTCTCAACCAGATAAAGATACCCCCAGCCCATAGGTAGATGAGAACTACATGTCCATATCCTGAATTTGAAATATAAAAATAAAATTATATACATTTACAACCTTAGCAGTGCCCAAAGCAGTATTGCCACACAAGAATCGAGCACATTCGGGGGGCTATTCTCAACACCTGTCAGTGGTGTTCCCTACGAACCTCCAGCTCTCACTGTAGAGTCTGCAGAGCCGAGATTGAGTAACAAAGTCCTCACTTCAATGAGGATTCCCTATCTTTCTCGCGGTCTGTATTGTCTTCATCTCACCACATTCCCCTATCACCACTATCAGGAAGCTAACCACGATCAGATCAGATGGTAGGGTCGGAGCCCTTCTCATCACCAACCCTTGATAATGGAGGAAAAGCCATCCGATGAGTTTCCGGAGCGAACCCAGCACCCGATACGGAGATGGTGGATTGGATCAAGTCGACCTCGACTGTTACAAAGAAGGGAGATATAGATGAATATGCGCACCTCATGTGGTCCCGGTGTCTAGGCCTCGCCTGGCTGGGGCTACAGGTTTCTTGAGACTTTTTCCCGCGCACGCAGTTTCCATTGCTACCATTTTTATTTTTTTTGGGTAGAAGGTTTCGTGGAAAAGGAGGCCGAGTTCCATGGGAGAATACTGAGCTGAATGGCTATTCATCAACGGGAATATATCAATGATCTTTCAAATAACAAAAGAGGATAGGAGCACTGTACAAGGTGTGGCCTGGGTCAGAGAGGAGCTCCATATGCTAGATATTATATGACTCAAGTAGTACAATAAATATACCTCTATCTCTGTAGGGATCTACTTCGCTCGAGTTTTGCGGCGCCTTTGTGCAGCTTCGACCCTATCCCTCCCTTCTCCCATGACACTTTCTATCGCCACGATGCTGTTGGTAAGTAAATATGAGGGTGATGCTTGTTAAGAATGGGAATTATAACGTACACAGCATAAATTTGATCAATCGTGTCGGGATGTTGATGGGCTTCAGCAGCTCTTGTTTTGACTAGAAATGAATGGTTCTATTCGAAACTCTATTCATATAGTTTAAATTTGTGTGTATTTTTGTTTTTTTTAAATCATTGAGTGTATGCAGCCTACCTAGCTATGACACTATAAATTTGTGTTTGTTTTCCCGTTTGACGCGTGAATAAAAGCGTAGCCCTTATGGTCGTGTAGACTTCTATGTTCTGATAATCCACAGTTTAGCCTTGTAGCAACTTAATTTAATTGCGCGGTGCCATTATTGCCATAATTGCCAGTCTACTTGTCTTAAGTCTGTAGCTTCCTAACTCAGTGACAGACTTATACTCAAAGAATTGCTACATACAGTGTGCGAACAGGAGTCCTGTCCTGTGTAGTCCGTCGATCGAATGATAATTTTGTAGCCTGAGGCACCCAGGAATCCACCTCATAAAATTTGTTCCTTGACTATTATCAAAATAGAGGATAAGGTTAATAATGAGATTTATCAGTATAAACCCCCAGTCATGGTCTTTATCTATCACCGCACGACATTATCACATTGGGAGAGCCACATCTGTCCACTCCGCCATTCACCGCGGCTTGCGAAAGTCCCGAGGAAAAGCATTCGTTGGTAAAGCCTACCCAAATCCAGACGATCCACGAGAAAAGTACAAGAGAAAGCATGGTATACCAGATTTTTCATCGGAGCCCCGCCGAAAGCCTTTCCTACGACAAAAATCGAATCGTGATGGAAAGTACAATTCTCAAACCCCATTTACTACAGATTGGAGAGATAAGAGCAAACCTGGATCAGGTCGTTCTTATACCGAGAATTTTAATTCATCCCAACGTCGACCTTCTGATGACAAACTGGATTATTCCAGATCACATCAAGCGAACAACTTACTCCGACAGAATCTAAAGGATAATATTATGCAGGAATCATCCTCGATCCAGCATAATCGAGGAAAATTTCAGCAAAGAGAATCATTTAATTCGCAAAAAGAGCCGTCTTACAAGCAAAACTTCTCTAGGCCTAGACATGAACCTAGCGACGGTCTAAATAGAAGGGCAATTCGGGCACAAAAGTTTGGAAAACGAGACGATTCTCCAGTGGACAGGGAAACCGCTTCTGTAAACTCGTGGTCCTCCGATAATAAATATGATACGAAGCCACGCAATAACTTCTCCACAAATTATAAGCAATACGAAAAGGATGATGTCAGAAAATCGACAGAGACATCAGATTATAGCAGCAGGACTAAATCGCCGTTCAACTCGTTTCGACATCAGAACCCGTCTCAAACACAAAGTCGTTACCGAGAACCAAATAGAGAAGCAATAGCTAATCAGAATGGCAGATATAACCGAGAGGGGCAGGGGAACACAACCTATAATCCCACGAATACAACCTATTCTTCCAATGTAGCTAACTCTCGACCTAACACGGAATTCTTTAACCCTAGAACTAATACGTCAGACAGACCAGGATATTTTCCTGACAAAAAGATGCCTATCCCTTTGCATTACACGACCCCCGCATCTGAGTTTCTCTATGGCTTCTCAGTCGTTGAAGCAGCTCTAACTTCTCGAAGGGATATACGGAGGAAGCTATACAAGCTTTATATCTCCAGTGTAGAAAATCGAGAGCTACTGGAGCAAGACAAACACCTCCAGCAGCTAGCAAAAAGCCATGAAGTTCCAATTGTACGAGTAAACGAAGATGGAATCCGCATGCTAGATAAGATGAGTAACGGTCGTCCACATAATGGCTACATTCTTGAGGCATCACCTTTGCCAAAGATTCCAGTCACAAGCCTATTAGAGGTTACAACGTCAAAAGATGAGCCTAGCTCTGAAAAGCCAGGCTTTAGAGTCCAGCTCGATCATCAGTCTCGTGAAGAAAAGGCTATAAACGGAACATCAGACTTTATTGAAACTTTGAGAACAAATCCAAAGCATCAACCATTGGTTCTTATGCTCGATAGTATACTCGACCCAGGTAATCTAGGTGGTATTATACGCACGGCTTCATTTTTTGGTGTCTCGGCCATTGCTATCTCTTTGCGAAATACCGTATCTTTCACGCCTGTAGTACTCAAAGCATCAGCTGGAGCATCAGAGCACACAACTATACTCTCAGTCGGTAGTCCGGCCGAATTTATTGCGGAATCTAGAAACGCGGGGTGGAAAATATATGCAGCTGTGCCACCAATAGATGGTTCGAGGTCATCCCAAACTATGTCTGTTTCTTCAAACGAATTATCTTCAAGGAATCCTTTAGTCGAAGCACCATCTATTCTCATGATCGGAAACGAGGGGGAAGGGTTGCGACGTCTCTTGCGTAACAAAGCAGATGTGGAAGTTTTCATCCCGGGAATCAAAAATCCCGAGGTAAAAAGCTTAAATGTAACTGTGGCAACTGGGATTTTATGCGACGCTTTCTTAAAGGATCGGGATGACCATGAGAATTCCCTGGCACCTCAGGAAATTCAAACACTGTATCAAAATTTGGAGAGAAGCCGGTTGAAAGAAGAGGAAACAGAGCCACTTTTATATTGAGTGAATATGCTGTTAAAAGAAAGAAATAAACAACTTGTATATTAATTGAGATGCTAGTAGAGCCTTCACTGGCTCGCAAAACCCTGAATTTGTACAAATTTCAAATTATTCTATGACGGCGTGATTAGCACAATTTTTTCATTTCTAATCTACCTATCGTTAAATTGTAACGGTAATAGATATAATCTGTTTTTTGAGAGATGGCTCATATTTTCTACGTGCCAATGAAAATGTGAAAATTATTGAATCGCCTGTAGTCGAAGTATCAATGCTAGAAAAGTACCTATTAAAATTTGATGCCAAGATGACACATAAACAGGTGAAAGGGGCATGATCAAAAGTTCATTGAACTGCGTAACGCAAGCATGTAAGATTGAGAGGGATAGCTTGAATAGATGGGGGTATTTCACCCATTTATTGTGTTTTCAGATATCTAGCGACGACGTATGATTACTGTCTAAAGTATATACAAAGTGAGTCTTGAGATGTTTTGAATGTAGACTAGACCTATCTAGATAGATTGTGTGTGTGTTTGTGTTTATTGTGCTACTTGAGTCTATGACTATCTAGTACATTGGGCTCCTCTCTGACCCAGGCCACACCTTGTACAATGCCCCTACCCTCTTTTGTTATTTGAAAGATCATTGATATATTCCCGTTGATGAATAGCCATTCAGCTCAGTGTTTACCCGTGGAATTCGGCCACCTTTTCCACGGAACCTTCTACCCAGAAAAATAAAAATGGTAGCTATGGAAACTGCGTGCGCGGGAAAAAGTCTCAAAAAACCTGCAGCCCCAGCCAGGCGAGGCCTAGACACCGGGACCACATGAGGTGCGCATATTCATCTATATCTCTCTTCTTTGTAACAGTCGAGGTCGACTTGATCCAATCCACCATCTCCGTATCGGGTGCTGGGTACGCTCCGGAAACTCATCGGATGGCTTTTCCTCCGTGATCAAGGGTTGGTGATGAGTAGGGCCCCGACCCTACCATCTGATCTGATCGTGGTTAGCTTCATGATAATGGTGATAGGGGAATGTGTTGAGAGATGAAGACGATACAGACCGCGAAAGCGATTGGGAATCCTCTTCGGAGTGAGGACTTTGTTACTCAATCTCGGCTCTGCAGACTCTACAGTGAGAGCTGGAGGTTCGTAGGGGACACCGCTGACAGGTGTTGAGAATAGTCCCCCTATCTAGATAGATTGATAAGATGATTCTAGGAAAATTTATATTCCTGGAGGTATTAAATTTCTTATTGGACTATGACTCCTTTAAACGGATAGAACAATGTGGCTAGAAGTAGATTCGATAGTCTTTAGGGTTAAACTAACTTGTATTGCTTTCTACAATCTCAGCATTCCTTAAGAATGCTGCAGCCTAGCTCGTACTAACTTATCTCTGCTAGGCTTATCTACACGCGAGTATGGAACTACTAATACAATGTACATAAGATCTCCAAACACCTAACCATTTTTACCTTCAAGTAAACAACGATCACAACCATAACTCCATTATCATCACCTCCACGCGAATAATTAAATTTATCCACTCATCGAAACTTACAAAATCAAGCATCATTATGGCTGCGCACTGCCAGCTGTCGTTCTCGGCGTCAACTGACCCAGGAGACCTATAATACTCGAGCCTTCTTGGGTTTGCTGCCGAAATGGAGCAAACGGAACGTGAAGAAGAGCAGCGAATGAGCGTAGCGCAAAATTTCCTGCAAAATATCGATGCTTGGGCAAAGTCCTCGTCAGAAATTGAAGGCGCGCACTTAGTCGCTCCACTTATAGAAAATATTTCACCTATCGTAACAGCGTTTGCGATAGGTAACGTCAATGCCGCAAGTCACCAAGGCAAGAATTCATCCCAGGAAATTACTCAGATGAAAACCTCTGTGTCCAGGGCGACAAAGATAGTGGAGAAATCTCACCACGAACTCTCTCGAAAGCCACGGGAAACTGCTTCTCCGTGGCTAACAATAGCCCGAAAATCAGAGAAGCTCCTGGATCCAACAGCCAACCTGGTAAAGCGAAGGCCTGCCGTGTAGACAAAACCAGTCGGATAAGAGCCTCCAAAAGAACATTAACGAGTCTTTGTTCGTGTTGGAAATTCTGACTCTCCAATTTAGGACTCAACCATATAATATCGTACAGAGTATATTTCCCAACAGATTATGAGACCAATGCTCTAGACAACTGAGCTATTATTTCTGTCCAACAATCACTCGTCGATATTCTGTTCAACCATCGACCAAGAAAGTATCTTCCCTACTTGTGTCGTAATTTTGTTGTAACAATTTTTGGATTATTTTCACCTCATTTTATTTTATATATTTTGTACAATGTCTACAGCCGACATAGTCGCATCGTTCAAAAATGCACCTCATCTAAGCAGAGCCACATTCAGAAAATGGCGTAATATGTTTGAGACTTGCATGGTTGGTCTTGGGGGAGAGCAATATATTCTCCGAAGAATACCTGAGCTTGCAAAGGCTGAAGCGTCAACTGTACTAACCATGGATGCTAAAGAAACGAGGAGGTCACATGTAAGATATGGCGCTAGAGTTCGGTCAGCAATTTTACAGCTGGTTCCTGAGGAAGTCTATTACCTCATAGAGTCGGAGGAGACTGCCAGGGATATGTGGGAAACCTTGTGTGATTTTTACCAGCCGAAGGACGATGGAGACGTCGATACCCTACTGAAGGAGTTTTGGAGTCTTTCTATGGATGAAGGGACGGAAGTGGATCTCTTCGCTTTCAAACTTACAGAGTTACAGTCCCGTATAGCCTCCATCGACCCATCACAACGTCTTTCCAACATTGCAAAGAAAAATCGTCTTTTAAATTATTTTGATAGTTGCTGCGACGGACGATACAGTGGATCAGTTACGGTTCTCAAATTAGATAAATCTCTAACCTTCTCTGATGCAGTAAACTCGTTGCGTTCTACGCAAGAGAACTCCAAGCGCCATTTTTTGCCAATAGAACCGGTTGTTGCCCTTACCAATGGGCCTAATTTGAAATTAAGAACCACTGTATGCGCTCACTGCCATCGCAAAGGCCATACCAGAGAATTTTGCTTCATCTGGTTAGATACTCCGGATGGCACAAAGTGGGCCGCTAAGAACCCAGCCAAGGCTTACGAGTCCGCGAAAAGAAGAGCCAACTAATGGTTAGGACGAATAATAGATTAGGGATAAGTATGAGATCGCATAGTGCTGAAGATGGTGCATGGCTGGCGGGAGAGAGCAAATATACTCCTCAAAATAATTGTAATTCGAGTGTTGTACTCGATACTGGCGCCACACACTACATTTTCTGCGATCGTTCGGCATTCACCTCCCTATCTCCAATCCGCAAATCCATACAATCGGTTTCGGGACATCATGTGGCCGTGTTTGGTGTTGGCTCCGTCAAGTTTCGCGTTTTCGATCTCGAGAATAAAGGCCTAAGTAAGATGGTGAGATTTGATGATGTTTGGTTCGTGCCCGGGTGTACCAGGAATTTAGTATCCGGAACACAGCTCCTTGTCAACAACTTCGGGATGTTGTCTAACCAAATGGGAATTAGCGTTCTTTCAGACTCTGGATCGGTCATTGCAACCGTCAGGACTGAGGCAGGATTATTTTGTTTCAAAACTGCCCAACATGAACACCCTTTGGTAGCTAACGAATTTGTTGGCTTATGTACGGAGTCTGTTGTTCCCATGGATAATTTCAGGACGAAAACATCCGCTACATCAAATATCTTCGCCACTTCAAAGACCCGGCATCCCAATTTTTCCAGTCCAGTTAGAAATTTTCATCAATCGCCGGCTGATGTAACATACGAAATTCCTCCTCGATCATCCCTGCCGCCTCATATCAATGGCGGCCCTATAACTTCTCCTAAGAGAAATATTTCTTCTTTTAACAACTCCTCTGCCATGATGCGTTGCATCTCTAAGGGCAAATATTCAAAGCCGCCTTCGGCACAATATCGTGGCCTACGACCAATTTCAATGTCTAGTCACACTTATAAAAAAAGAGACAGTCACTCTTCAAACTTAACCTCCCAAAATTTACCAGGAATTCTTTATCGCATGAAGATACTGCCATCTTCAAATGCTATCACTAATTTTATTTCGGCATGGGGAGCGACTAGACCAGACTAGCGCCTTTATACAAGTAATTTAATGAACTTGGCATTTACTTATCTATCAGTTAAAATCTTATCGGTCTTGTCAGTCAGGGGGAGTGTTGGGAATTCTGACTCTCGAATTTAGGACTCAACCATTACCTGTTTCGTCTCAGGTTCCCGACAAGATCGACTCTATCTACACATGTCACGAGTGCGCTAATCGCGCCTACTGTTGCATTTACAATTGGATATTTACGTACTACAGTGTACCTTGGATCATCATGGTAGATGAGAGGTGGCTGGTCATCACTAGGTTTGACAGGCACATGAGACTAGTGGGAATTTCTCCCCTAAGATGTATATATAAGTCCAATGTTCACATAGTTGTAAAACATCAAGTCTTCTTTACTTCATCATATTTATCCATATAATAACGTACAGAGTATATATTCCAACAGTTCGCATGGGGCGACAACATCAGTGGCGGACGTTATCACCTGTCACAATAAAGAATCTCGTCGCTGAAAATGCTGGAGTCGAACCTTCAGCAATTATAGCGATGACACAACTTAGGTCCGGCCTAGCAATGGAGTGTGCATCAGACGAACTCAGGGAGTCGATTCTGATTGTGGGTCCTTCACTTTAAAAAGAGGAAATTGTTGGGAAATATACTCTGTACGTTATTATATGGATAAATATGATGAAGTAAAGAAGACTTGATGTTTTACAACTATGTGAACATTGGACTTATATATACATCTTAGGGGAGAAATTCCCACTAGTCTCATGTGCCTGTCAAACCTAGTGATGACCAGCCACCTCTCATCTACCATGATGATCCAAGGTACACTGTAGTACGTAAATATCCAATTGTAA